CAGGAAGCGACGTAAAACTCAAGTGCATTTCAGCTTTCTCTCATTTGCGTCGCTCTTATTTATTAAAGCGACGCAATTAATAAACTTATTTGCGGTCACTCATTTGTTAACAAGCGACGCAAATAAGTGATTAAGTAATTTGCGTCACGCTTTTACTACATGAGTGACGCATATGAGGTGTGTACAATATCATAAACAAGGTTATGCGTCGTTTTTTTATAATAAAGTGACGCAAATAACTCTTTTGGCTTTAGATTTTCTGCGTTTTTTTACTTTAGTTTTTCATCACATACGCCTACATTCACTAAACAAAAAGAAAAAAAACAAGAGTTCTTCAATTCCAGTGAATTGCTACAGCAAAACACCCACAAATTTGTCTCTGAAATCCAACAAATCAGGCCAAAAAAACTGCGATTCCCCAGCAAATTTAACATCTAAATTAAAATTGCAGTCAAGTTGAAGAAAATCCGAGCAATTTCGAGCAAAAATTTAGACCAAAAACCCTAAGAAATTCGAACCCTTAAACCCAAAAAAATTGATTGTTTCCGACCAAAAATCCCCCATTTCGAGCAAAAAATCAACTCAAAAGCATACAAATTCGAACCCTAGAAACCCCAAAAAATTCAATTTCGGTCTTCAAGTTCGATTGGGGGATTTCGAGGGGGGATTTCTTGGGTTTTTGGCAGCGACGCAATATACCCTAAGAAATTCGTCCCATTTCAGTCATAAATAATTTTTGTTCGAATTTCAGTCAAGAAATTACAGCAACAATAGTTTCAGTCAAGAAATTACAGTAACAATAATTGTTCGAATTACGTCTTTTTCTGGGTTTAAGGGTTCGAAATCCCCCATTTCAGTCATAAATAGAAATTGTTCGAATTTCAGTCAAGAAATTACAACAACAATAAATCGAGGGGGGATTTCGGCTTGACATTGTTGAATTTGTGAAGTCAATTTCACCTAAGGTAAGATTGCTTCTATTTATGTTCATTCTTTTCATGGTAGATAGAATGTAACATTTAACTTGAACAATGACTTAGTTTAATTTCAGGTTTAGTGTTAGTTCATTAATTAGAAAATATATATGGCAGATTTTAGTTGAATATATAACTGGTTGCATCTTTGAGCTGCTGATTTTTGTGCTGCTGGTTTGCAATATATTACTGATTTCAAATATATAACTAAAATCGAGTGCATGGTATGACTATATAAGCGGTTTTGCAAAAATAGATAAGCCACGTGTTGTTGATCTTCATCCTGGCCATTAAATTCAATAACATTGACCGTTGTTTTTCAACTGTCTTATCTTTAATTTGCTGTAAAAATGCTGCTAAATAAATTACAAAATACATGTAAGACTTGCACTCGTTTAGTTGGAAGTCAGTGTTTACATATATGTTATTTAGTTGGAAGTCAGTGTTTACATATATGTTATTGGGTCTCTTATTTAGTTGGAAGTCAGTATTTACATATATGTTAGAAGAGTGTTTTTTGAGGTTTTCTGTGGACTGATACTATGAAATGTTGTTGCCTGACCATTGTAATTGTATTAGCTTTGCTGTGCTGTTGATTGAAAAGAGAGATGAAGAAGGGCAATTACAAGTACTATCAGCTGCACTTGAGGTAAAATACTAAAATCCTCTGGTTCCTTTCAACTGCCCTTTGTATTAAGTTTCTGTCTTATGTGTTGATGCAATTAAAACTATAGCAATCTTATAATGCTTGCTCAGATTCAACTGTTCAATGGGATCATTTTGCATTTATGTTTGAGAATGTAGGAATATATTAATAAATTTTGATTGTATACAGTGGCCAACAATTACTAAATCTGTTTGGAAAACTTAAAAGATAATTTAAAATCGAGGAGTATTTGCGATGCTCATGGATTGAGCTTACAAATTGTTTAAGTATAATAATGCAGAAGTGCTACTTTTATTTGTTGGGTAAAAAGTTTGATTTATTCTCTGGTTGCAGATTGCTGAAGCAGAGAGTATTGATCTAGATTCAAAATTTCGTGCCCTGGTTGCTATTAGATCATTGGTATGTTGTCTTCTTATATCTGTTGTGTTATGAGAATGCCACAGCCCACTGGGTAATGTCAAGAGATACTTTCAAGTATAAAGAGGCTGTTTTTGCAATTGTTTACTATACCGGCAGCTCTCTGTGGAGCTTCTGGAGGGGTGATTGCCATACAGTTTTGTTGTGCAAGTCTTTGTATGTTTGTATGGTCTTTTGAGTTTCTTGTTTTCAAACTATCTTGTCTGCTTATTTAATACGGAGTACCAAGTACTTTTCTGATTAGTATAAGATCTAAATACCTGCGGATGGCTTAACACTCGTTTCAGGTCTTCAAGTTTTACACCATGATTGGCTAATAAGCAATGCCGAATAACAACTTTTATGTCACATGACAGATTAAGTTGAATCAACTATGTTGGTTTAATATATGTAATTTTTTATGGCAGATTCTTAATTATGCGGAAGTGAATTCCACAAGTTGCTCGAGGTACTGGTTGTGGATAAACGATTAAGGCGGTAGTACGCATACGAGATTGTCTTCACTTGTGGTATATATACGAGGTTCTGGTGTGTAAGGGTAATATATATGTTATTTGTTTCAAATGTGTAGTGCTTTTCAAAGTTTTAAAGCATTAAGTGGACAATCTAGGGGAAGTAAATTGACATGGCATTTGGGACAGGTTACCTTAATTTCTTACCCTAACTTTTAGTTTCTTAATAATTTAAGTATAACAATTTAATTCAACTTATAAATATATTACATGTAGTGTCCTCAACAATTGGGTGGACGTGAGTATGGCTACTACGTCATGCGTTATATGTACGAAATACTTGAACATCACCATAGCAATGAGGATCTTATTCAGGTATGAGTTGTCAAATATTTCATTTTTGTTTGATAAATACAATTTGTTGTTAGCTACAATCTTGAATTAAAACTTTCCTCTTGTATATTTGTTGTGTTGATAGGATTTTTCAAGAACTACACCGTACACCGAGGAGGAGATAAATGAGATTCGAGATATTTGGGCAGAGTATTTTATATGTAATGTTGAACTTTAGATTTACACTTAGCGCATGTTGGACTCTTGTTTTGGATTATAGGCTTGAAATGAATGAATTTGGTTAATTGGTGTTGGGATGATGAGTATAATGTCTATGATATTGAGATGTAATTTATTGGACATGTTGTTAATATAATGTCGTCATTCCCAATTTTATGGGTAGGCCAAATTACAAAGGAGACTATGCCGAAATTTACATTTGCATTATTCAATAATATTGCATTTTAATTTCAATTATATTAGCGTTAGAATATTACTTTATACCACTAGTAAGGAAAACAGGTACTACAAACATATACAAGGCAATTATTATAATTTAAAAAAAATCACCTCATTTGCGTCACTCATTAAACAAACAAGTGATGCAAATACAACAATTTTGTAGTGTCTACTCAGTCATTTGCATCACTCCTATATAAACAAGTGACGCAAATAACAAATAAGAAGTTTATTAGAAGAGTCATTTGCGTCGCTCTTTTATAGAGGAGTGACGCAAATAACAAAAAAGAAGTTTATCAGAAGAGTCATTTGCGTCGCTCCTTTATAAAGGAGTGACGCAAATAACAAAAAAGAAGTTTATCTATAAAGGAGCGACGCAAATGACTCTTATTTGCGTCGCGCCTAGGAGCGACGCAAATACACTATAAATGAGCGACGCAAATGAGCCTTTTTCTACTAGTGAACTGAACTAAAATGAATATTTTATTAGAGAAGGAAATTAGGAGCTGAGCTGAACTGAACTGAACTGAATTGAATTTCAACGTAAGAGAACAGACCCTTAATCTATAGTTTTAAAAATAAAATGTTGATTTGTATAGGTAACAGCTAGTCAACCGTTACTTTACCGAATCATCATATCTAAATTATTTATCTTCACAACTAACAGCTACATACACAGCTAACATCGATCTCCACAGCTACAGCTACCTTCACATCTATATTTTGCCGAACATACTCTATGTAGATGACTAGTAGAGGCCCAAACTTATTATCCTGCCTCGGACATTTAAATTGCTAGGAATGGAACCTAATAGCAAGATACAAAACATGCTTGAGGATAACTAGTCCACTAACCAATAAATTTATGACCTATGTACAAAAATGAAAAGAACTTCGTTTGTCACACATTTAATTTAAAAAAAATAAAAAAAAAATCTCCCACCCTAATAATAAACATGATAACTAGGGGTGCTTATGATGCGAGTCGAGTTTAAGTTTTCGAGCTTGGGGTAGCTCAACTTGTATTGTTAACATATGGAGTCGAGCATAATTGAGTCAAGTTTTGACCAAGTCAACTTTGATCAAATTTGCCCGAGTCGATCTCGAGTAGCTTGCAATTTGATCTATCATATTAGAATTCTCTATTTAGTGTACAATCGCTTCATTTATGTAATATTCTCATTTGAGAAATATACATATGACGATACGAGTACATGAATAATGTTTTTTTTAAGGAAATATAATGTTTTATTTGTTAATTATTAATGTAAATAAAAAAAAGTTTTTTTAATCAAAAAAATAAATTTTTAGTAAATATAATATTATATACTACCTCCGATTTTTTTTAGTTACAACTTTGAAATATTTTATGTCTCTCAAATAATACTCCAAAGTTGCAACTAAAAAAAATAGAAGGTAGTAAAAGAATTCGAGCTCCTCACGAGCTACTCGACTCGACTCAACTCATTAACACTTAAATATCAAGCTTGATTTGAGTTTTGACTGAGTTGAAAACTCGAAGAACTCGCGAGTTGCCTCGTCTCATAAGCACCCATAAAGATTAAGCAATAATTCCATTTGGGCCATCTATTGGGCTTCTATTCAATAGTAAATTCATCGTTATTATTATTGGACCATTATATCCGATTTCCATGCCCTATCATAAAACGGCCCATATAAAAATACTACGTATCAGAAATTCATAAAAGAGCCAAAAGATGAAAAGAATAACAAATTCACAAATTTTCTGTTCTACTAGTGCAAAACCTAGCGTTTAGCCGCCATTGAAGCTCATTTGCGCTACTTCATCTTCAATCTTGAGCTAATTCAACAAGATGAGCAAGAAAGGTCCACCTAAGCATCAGAACAAGTTCGCATGGAAACCCCATCTTGGTATCAAAATCAATGAAACGGTACAAAAATTCAATTAATAAAACTAATAAATTTTTAAAAAAAATTCTTTTTTTTTTTCTAATTTATTGAAGAATATATCTTTGTTTACAAATTCAGGAACCAGGTGGAAGATTCAGGCCATTTCCAGAAGTTACAGGGGTTTGTCCTCGTTGTAGAGATCAAATTGAATGGAAGCGCAAATATGGCAAATATAAACCCCTTGTTGAACCCTCTAAATGGTTTTTTTTTTTATCCTTTCTAAAAATAGATACTTTTAATTGGGTGTATTGATGAATTTTGATTATGGGTTGTGATTTAATTTGTTAATGAATAATGGGTATTGATTTAATTTGTGATTTATTGTGCTAATTTTTCAGTCAGAAGTGTTCTAAGCGGGCTGTTCGTCAAGCTTACCTTAATCTCTGCCCTGGTTTGTCTTAATCCTTTTTATTTAACTTATTTTAATGCTTAGAATTTTATTGATTATGTTATGCAATGCAGCTGCTAAGTTGAAATTTTAGGGTTCAAAGATTGAAATTGTTATTGCCAATTTAAATTGTAATACCCAACTAGTCAAGGACTTAGATCAAATCCCGTCTACATCATTGCCTTTTGCGGCTCCTTACACAACCCACAATAATATAAATAAAAAATGCTTAAGTGTGATTCTTTGTCTTTGGAATGGGTTGCAGGCTGTGCTAAAGAACAGGGTGTATGTGCTAAGTGTTGTAGTCGCGTGGGTCAGCTTGTTGGAAGGTTTTGATCTTACTTTCCTTAAATTTTGAGATTGTAAACTATGTTGTTATAATTGCTATATTTCTTATTGTAGTTTTGTTTGATATGTGAACTTTGTGAATCTATTTAGGGATGCGGCAGAAGTAGAAGCTGAGCAGAAGGTGCTTGAGGAGGTAATGACATTGTCTTCTAACATAAGTAGCTAATAATGTGGGGAGAAAAGATTGTAGTTGTTTTTTCGTTTGATATCTGATAGTTTGGATTTCTGTGTCATAATGCAGGCTATAAAGAATGCTCGAGAGAGAGATAGGAGGACGCTATTGCGATCTGTAAGTCATCTGCTGTCTGTTACTTTTGCTGTTTTGCCTATTATTTGGCAGTCATTTCGTACTATATTCAGTAATAGTTGGGAAACTTGCCTTTATTGAACTTACTCCCTTCACTAACGTTCCTCCTGTGTACGGATGAGCCCAATGACATAAAAGCTACCGTGAATGTATAATTTAAACTTGGTTATAGAACTTTTATGATCATCTGGCGGTAAGCTGGTAACTGTGTCTGCCTACTACCTTGGATAATTGCTACTTTAATTTAGCGGATTGCTCAATTGTGCCGTCCTTATGAAACTATAGTAACAAACTGAGAAAATATGAATTAGCTGTCCATTTAAAGCAACAAAGAAAACCACATGCAATGCTTAGATGTAAGCTTGCTGAGTATAGATTGAAACCCAAGCCTTTTCTATAAGATTGAATGCATAGGCTGATGCTGCATGAAATGATGGTCATAGGTTGTGTTCTCTTCAAATTAATTTGACTTACGTAAACTTAATGTATTTGTGTTGAATTTATTGAATAAGTTGAGAGCACCATGTTTGTAAACATAATCTTCATATTGTAATTTTTGAATAATATTAGTGGAACCTATGCATTCAGCTTTTGACTTTGCTTGCTATCTACTTGTTGCATACCTTTATTGATTATTATACAATATGAATATATAGGGATGGGTGGTAGTAATATTATCGCTACCATGACATTGGTTTTCAAATTCCCTAATCCTCAAGCCAAAAATCTATAATTGCTTAACACCTGGGTCATAAAGGTTTTCTGGTAAACAATATGGGAGAACAATGTACTGTATCAAGTATTCAAGCTTATCCCGTGTTATTAGTTTTGTCAACTTTGTTATTGGTCTATGCTGATGACTGATGAAAGTTTTTACTCGATATTATTGTTACATCAGTGCTGGTGTTGCTCAATTTGTATGTTTCATTGAGTCATTAAATTTGCCAACTTATTGCAACAGATTAACAAGGATAAAGCCAAAGGGCAAGACAAAACCCCGGCCGTTCAGGATGGGAAAGTTGAGGAATTGTTTTCTGCTGTGTCACTAGATGAATATGCGGAATTGAGCAGAGATGACGAAGACAATGGTGATGGTGAAGATGGTGTCAAGATCTGTAACTAAGCCATTGGCAAGTGTATCTTTAATATCGAATCTGGAGTGGTTTTTCGCGATGTGAGAAATTTTGACGATGTCATTGTTAATGATGGATCAATGAGTTATGGCCTTTTTTGTCATTCTTTTGCCTGAGCTAAACATAGTCAAGCACACAACAGAGACATTGATGCCACATCTGGCTCTCTACCTGTATTTGCCAAGCAAAGGCCAGAATGTTTAAGCTCAAACGTATCTGCTGTGATAAAAAAAAAACCGGTCTATATCCTCTCCTACTTCTCTCGAATTGACAGCATACAATTCATGTATTTTATGAATGTACCTAATGTATCATATCAAAATATCTTGTTCCTCTACTATTAGATGTTGCCGAGCAAAAATTTAACCTTGCTACTCATGTCCTGCTTAGCCTTGGGTATATTGATGAGCCTCTTTTCCTCTACTTGCTGCCTAACGCAGAATGTGTTGGGGATATTGCACTTATAATGCAATTGGGATTGATCAACGATCATGCTGGTGATTTTGCATCAAGATTTCTTTAAGTGCCCCATAACGAAGCAATTCAAGGAGATAAGTGTTCACCACTAGAGCTGTCAAAAGTTGACTCGACTCAAACTCGATTATTAACCGACCCATCTGAACTCGAAAAAAATGGTGACCCAAACCCGACCTGGAACTAACCCAAGACCCGAGTTGACCCGAATATGTGAGACCCGAACCCGAATATGAATTGACCTGGAGATGACCCGACCCGACCCGAATGTAACCCGTAAATTATTGACCTGAACCGAACCCGACTTGAACCGAAATTAACTCAAACCCATTTTAACCCGTCAAAACCCGAATTTAACCGACTTGTTACTAACCTGACCCTGAATTCATCCCGACCCGTTCCTACCCGACCCGAATTAAACCCAACCTGTTACAAACCCAACCCAAAATCAACCCGACTTGTTATTGACCTGACCCAAATTCAACCTGACTTGTTATTGACCCGACCCGAATTTTACCAAACCTATTAATAACCCGACCCAAAAAATTCAACCCAATCTGTTACTAACCCGACTCGAAATCAACACAACTTGTTATTGACCCGACCTAAATTCAACCCAAATTGTTACTGACCCGATTTCATATCACCTTAAATGCAATTTAGACCACCTTATTATTGTTGATCAAAGCATTTTGCCTTGGGAGACCAAGTCGGTCCAGGCCAGCAAAAGAAAAGAGCATCATCCTCAAATTTAAGAGTTAATTTGTTGCATGGTCAAAGGAGATAATTATCTTCCTAAATTATAAACTATAGTTCCCTATTATATTGTCATATATATTATAGTCAAAGGAAATAATTAGCTTGATAAAAATGATAATTATCTATTTATAGTTAGTTGAACCCGAATATGACCTGACTTGGAAATGACCCGACCTGATTGTAACCTGCAAATTATTGACTTGAACATAACCCGACATGACTACGAGAATCACCCGACTTGGAAATGACCCAACTTGATTATAACCAACAAGTTATTAACTTGAACCAAACCCGACTTCAACCCGAGAATGACCCGTCTTGAAAAGGACCCGACCTGGTTATAACCCGCAAATTATTGACTTGAACCGAACTTGACTAAAACCCGAAAAAGACCCGACCTAATTTTAACCCGCAAATAATTGACTTAAACCAAACCTGACTCAAACCCTAGAATTACCCTAACCCGTTTTAAACCGTGAAAACCTGAATTAAACCGACCTATAGTTCAACAGACCCGAATGTAACCGGACTTTTTATTAACCCAACCTAAACCCGATAAGAAGTATGACCTGACGTGACCCGACACAAGCATGACCTAACCCAAACCCGACCCGCATAGGTGATGGAATTAATCCGAATTGACCCGACCCGAGATGACCAAACCCACTCTTACCGACACAAACCCGAATTGCAGCATTATCTGAAACCTCCAAATTTTCAAAAAAAAAAGCGTGGATATTACCTTTCAATTTTGGAATTTTTTTGACTTTTTTTCACCTGAAAATAAAAATTCCCGAAATGTTTACCATGGTCCTTAATACCCTCCGAGAGTACAATTGGGTGGGTGGAACCATCCAATTTGCCTTTAAACGACCACTTTACCGGTTTACAACTTGCACCGATTTCATCAACTCAAGCTTACCACGAACATTTATGACAACATATATTGATCATATATGGATCCAAACGGCATTATATGACCCCAAGATGTATCCCCTAAAATCTCAATGCTTTTCGACACCTGGCCCCGAAACATTCGAAATTTCTCAAAAAGTGTGGATATTAGCCTTCAATTTTGGAATTTTTTAACTTTTTTTTTGCCCTAATATAATTGCAGAAATGTTTGCCATGATCTCTAATACCCTTTGGGAGTCCAATTGGGTGGGTGGAACCATCCAATTTAACTTTAAACGACCAATTTACCGTTTTACAACTTACATCGATTTCATTAATTCAAGCCTACCACGAAAATTTATGACAACAAATAAGGATCATATATGGTTCCAAACTACATTATATGACCCCGAAATGTATTCCCTAGAATTTCAACACTTTTCAACACCGAGCCCCGAAGACTTCAAAAATTCTTTAAAAGCTTGGATATAGCCTTAAATTTTTGAATTTTTGACTTTAATTCGCCCGGAAATAAAAATTGCCAAAGGATTTACCATGATCTCTACACTACAAAAAAATAAAGCAAAGGTAACAATGCAAAACCATTGCCTAATATAAAAAAAGTGTTGCCTTGTAGCTAAGACAACACATATGAGGCGTAATTTATGCCCCCATTGTCTATTCATAAGGCATCACATTTTTATTCAAAGGCACTAATTTTGAAAGCTTAGGTAAAATGATACATAAGGCAACACTTTAACAAAGACAACAAATGAAAAACGTTGTCACTCCCAAGCATTTAGTAGTTGGTAGGGCTTGAACTTGTGACCTCAGAGTCACAAGGTGAGTTCTCCACCAACTCTACCAAACTTGCTCATATATATATATATATATATATGTGTGTGTGTGTGTGTGTGTGTGTGTTGTCATTTTAATATAAATGTTGCTATAGATGGCAACATAGATATTAATTTACATTTTTCAAACAATAGTTTTATTATTATTATCTTTTCATGCAACAATTATTATATTTGTTGTCTTAAACAAGAAAAAGGTAACACTTTCAGCGACTGTTTCCTTATATAGTCTAGAGCAACACTTTTTTTTTTTTTTTTTTTCTGTTATTACTTTAGTTCAAGGTAACAAATAAGTATTGTTGCGTTAGATTATTAAGAGTAACATTTATGTAAGTGTTGCAATCTTAAGTGTTGCCTATTCTCATTTTTTTGTAGTGTTAATACTCTCTGGGAGTCCAATTGGGTGGGTGGAACCATCCAATTTGCCTTTAAATGACCAATTTACCGGTTTACAACTCGCAATGATTAAATTAACTCAAGCCTACTACGAAAATTTATGACAACATATAATAATCATATATGGTTCCAAACGGCATTATATAACCCCGAGATGTATCCCCTAATATAATAACCAACCAATTTGCTTTTAAATGTCCAATTTATCGGTTTACAACTTGCACCAATTTCATTAACTCAAGCCTACCTTGAACATTTATGACAACAAATAATGATCATTTATGGTTCCAAACAACATTATATGACCCCGAGAAATATCCCCTAAAATCTCAATTCTTTTTGACACCAGCCCCGAAACTTTCGAAATTTCACAAAAAGCATGGATATTAGCCTTCAATTTTTGAATTGTTTTACTTTTTATTGCCCGGAAATAAAAATTGCCGAAATATTTACAATGGTCCCTAATACCCTCTGGGAGACCAAATGGGTTGGTGGAACCATCCTATTTGCCTTTAAACGACCAATTTACCGGTTTACAACTTGCACCAATTTAATCAACTCAAACCTACTACGAACATTTCTGACAACATATAATGATCATATATGGTTCCAAACGAAATTATTTGATCCCGAAATGTATCCCCTAAAATCTCAAAACTTTTCGACACCGGGCCTCGAAACATCACAAACTTCTCAAAAAGTGTGGATTTCAATTTTGGAATTTTTTTATACTTTTTTTCGCCCGAAAATAAAAGTTGCCAAAATGTTTACCTTGGTCCCTAATACCCGCTGGGAGTCCATTTGGGTGGGTGGAACCATCCAATTTGCCTTTAAACAACCAATTTACCGGTTTACAACTTGCACCAATTTCATTAACTCTATCCTACCACGAACATTTATAACAACAAATAATGATCATATATGGTTCCAAACGGCATTATATGACCCGAGATATATCCCCTAGAATTTCAAAACTTTTCGACATCGGGCCCGGAAACCTCCAAAATTTCATAAAAAGTGTGGATATTAACCTTCAATTTTGTAATTTTTTCATTTTTTTTTGCCCGAAAATAAAAATTGCCGAAATGTTTACCATGCTCACTAATACCCTCTAGGATTCTAATTGGTTGGATGGAACCATCCAATTCGTCTTTAAACGACTAATTTACCGATTTACAACTTGCACCGATTTCATGAATTCAAGCTTACCACGAATATTTATGACAACATAGAATGAGAATATATGGTTCCAATCGGAATTATATGACTCCAAGATGTATCCCCTTAAATCTCAAGCCTTTTCGACATTGGGCCCCGAAACCTCCGAAATTTCTCAAAAAGCGTGAATATTAGCCTTCAATTTTGGATTTTTTTAAACTTTTTTTAGCCCGGAAATAAAAATTGCCGAAATTCTTACCATGGTCCTTAATACCCTCTAGGAGTCCAATTGGTTGGGTAGAACAATCCAATTCGCCTTTAAACAACCAATTTACCGATTTATAACTTTCACCGATTTCATGAATTCAAGCCTACCAGGAACATTTATGACAACATATAATGATCATATATGGTTCCAAACGACATTATATGACCCCCAGTTGTATCTCCTAAAATCTCAAGCCTTTTCGAAACTTGTTCCCAAAACCTCCAAAATTTCACAAAAAGCGTGGATATTAGACTTCAATTTTGGAATTTTTTAACTTTTTTTCGCCCGAATATAAAATTGCCGGAATTTTTACCATGGTCCCTAATACCCTTCGAGAGTCCAATTGGGTGAGTGGAACCATCCAATTTGCCTTTAAACAGTCAATTTATCGGTTTACAACTTGCACCGATTTCATTAACTCAAGCTTACCACGAACATTTATGACAACATGTATTGGTCATTTATGGTTTCAAACATCATTATATGACCCCTAGATGTATTTAATAAAATCTCATTTCTTTTCAGCAGCTG